ACACACACACACACACACACACACACACACACACACACACCACCACCACCACCACCACCACACACACACACACACACACACACACACACACACACACACACACACACACACACACACACACACACACACACACACACACACACACACACACACACACAATACAACGCCAACCTGGCCGAGGGCAGGGCCAAGCGGCGGTGCCGGCGCTGCAGCTGCAGCCGGGATGTACATGGAGAACCTGCTCACAATCTTCGCCATCGTGTCGTGTGGTCGGTCTGTCGGTGCTGTCCTGAACACCAAAATTAGTAGTCACATATGCGATGGCCTGTTTTTTTGTTGTTTGCGCTCACACATTTCCTCTCTCGCCTGCACAGCAGCAGACATGTGAGTGGTAGTGCCTGCTTGCTGCACCCCCTGCTTGCTGTGCTGCTTCCTTCCTGTCCATGCCAGGAGTGGCGTTTGAATAGGTTCTGGAGACAGTGTTCGTTGGTTGGCTGGTGGTTGTGCAGACAAGAGGGATCAGTGTTCCCTCCCTCTCGTCTGCACTGATCCTCCTCCAGTTTTCCCCCCACGCCACCCGTCTCATGTCAAACGCACACATTCTGTTTGGTTTCCTCCAGAAAAACAGAACAACATCCCAGCATCCATCCATCTCCTCCAACTTTTCCACCCTACTTTTCGATCCAACTCACGTTTGCCCACCACCCACACACCCCAACCTCCCCACATCACTCTGGCATCAATCGGAATCAGTTGCATTCTCCTTGGTAATAACAACACCCCCAGGCTTCACTGAACACACCCTTCTCCTCCAGAACCTTGCTTCTGCGATCGCACAAGGTGAGAATGCCATAACAGTGCGTCTCTGATCTCTCACCCCTTCTTCTTCCCTGTTCACTGGCTGCTCCGTGCACGTGGACTCTCCTTGTTCGCTCAGGTGTTTGTGCAGCTTGGCGTGTTTTTTCTTGCAGTTAGTCCGACAGTTGCCAGTGAACCGCTTGTTGTGTCTGGTTCATTTATCCAACGCATCCACTACGCTCAAGCCACCAACCAACCACCCAGTTCACGCACCAACTACGCCCTTGTTCAACCTTGTCTGCTCCTCTTTGCCCGTCTTCGCCAACAACTCGTCGCACCACTCTCATTCCCTGTGGATCGCATTGCAGGACCATGAAGATCTCCGCAGCCCTCGCGCTGGTGGCCACGCTTGCCGTCGCCGCCTCCGCAGCCCCCGCGTACTCAACCGACTCCGGTGAGCACAACGTGTGTGTGTGTGTGTGTGTTGTGTGTGTGTGTGTGTGTGTGTGTGTGCGTGTGTGTGTGCGTGTGTGTGTGTGTGTGTGCGTGTGTGTGAATATGCACGTATCCACGTGTGTTGCGCGTTGTTTGAGTTTTCAGCTTTGGTCGTGACTTGCCCACCCCTCTCCATCGACTCTCACACCTGATCGTCCCATCTCTCTCGCTTTCTCCCCCTTTCTCTCTCGCTCTGCGGGTTGCAGGTTGGAAGGTTGTCGGTGACGCCGCTGGCACCGTCAAGTTCCACATCGCCCTGGCGCACGCCAACCCGACCGCCATTGTCAACAAGCTGTATGAGGTGTCCGACCCTGCCTCCCCGGAGTACGGCAACCACTGGACCCGCGAAGAGCTCAAGCAGCACTCCAAGCCCGTCGATGGCGCCGTCAAGCGCGTCACCACCTGGCTCAGCGACGCCGGCATCACAGGTGCTGTGACGCGCGCGCGCGTGTGTACGCGTGTGTACGCGTGTGTTTGCGCATGTTCGTATGCTTCAGATGATCTGACATGGTTACTGAAACCATGCCATCACAACTGAACACGCACACACACACACACACACACACACACACAATTATACACTTCCTCTCATCCCTGTCACGATCTTGATCATCATCGTTGTCGCGCCTTGTTTGACAGCTGTGACGCCCAACTGGTGCGGCGATATCCTGACTGTGCGTGCATCTGCCGCTGCTGTTGAGTCGCTCCTCTCCCTCGACCTCCAGACCTTCTTCCACACCGACGCAAACTTTACCATCGTCCGTGCAACAGAGCCCTGGTCCCTCCCCGCACACATCGCCGCCGATGTCGACACCATCTTTGGTCTGCATGCCTTCCCCGTCACCCGCGCACACGTGTCGCACGTGGGCAGCAACGGCATGGCACCCCAGGCTGGCAAGGTCACCCCATCCGTCCTCCGCTCCCTCTACGGTGAGTCATGGCATGAAACAGGAATTGCGCCGCTGGTGCATGACGCGCGTGTGCTTGTGTGTGCGTGTGTGCGTGTGTATTTGCATCTGTATGCATGTGCGCGTGTGTATGCATGTGTGCGTGTGTGCGTGTGTGTTTGTATGTGTGTGTGTGCGCGCGTGTATCCGTGCACAAACACGCCAAGTTTCCATATTGCTGTTGTTCGATGTATTTTTTTCTGGCTACTGCTGTTCTTGCTCAAGTTGCATGGCCGTGCCTCTCACGTGTGCTCGCTTCCAACCCATGCTAACTGGGCGTGCGTGCATGCAGGCATCAACGAGCAGTACTCTGGCAGCTCCAGCAGCTCTCAGGGTCTGGCCGAGTTCCAGCACCAGGGTTACAGCGTCAGCGACCTCGCAAAGTTCATCCAAGAGTTCAACCTCCCCAAGCAGGTGCTGAACAATGGCAGGGGAATAATATGATGCATGGCATTGGCGTGCTTTCTCCAACGTTGCACACATTGGTGTTGCAACACACACACATGTCCCACTCTCACAACCACACACAAACACACACAAACACGCACGCACGCACACACACACTTGCCACAAACTTACATCGACATTGCAACACACGTGTATGCGTTCAGACTGTGCGCAACATCACTGGGGATGGGCAGACGGTGATTGGGCACACTGAGGCCAACCTTGACGTGCAGTACATCATGGTCACAGGCTCCCTCATCCCAACAGGTCTGCACGGCCACTGTCACTTGTTGTGGTCTTATCGTTGCTGTTGTTGTTTTTATTGTCGTCCTGTTACACCATACTCATACACACGTGCTCACGCGCAACAAGCTCTGTGTATCGTAGAATGAATTGCACGTTTCTCCCTCAAACACATTCAACCCCCCCCCAAACTGAATGTTTCTCTCTATGTGCACTTGCCACGCCACCACCAATGACATCAACCACACGAACTACAACATCAACCACCACCAACCACAGACTTCTTTGTGCAGAAGGGCAACGAGTTTGACCTGCTTGCGTGGAGCCAGGATGTTGCCGCGGACCCGTACTCTGCGATGGTGTGGTCTGTCAGCTACGGCGAGGACATTGAGACCATTGTCAGCTCCTTTGACGACTCGTACCCGACCCGCTTCAACACGGAGGTGGCCAAGCTCGGCACGCTCGGCAAGAGCATCCTCTTTGCCTCTGGCGACTCTGGCGTCTACTCCCGCCAATGTATGTTCACACGTGCACACGCGCACATTGTGATGTGTGTTGTGTGTGTGTGTGTGTGTGTGTGTGTGTGTGTGTGTGTGTGTGTGTGTGTGTGTGTGTGTGTGTGTGTGTGTGTCTTTGTCTGCACATGTGTGCGTTTGTGAATTTCCTCGCCTCCCCTCATTGCGCGTCATCACCACGCCACCATCACCACCACCATCACCACCAGCCGTCGACCGCGAGTTCCGCCCCGACTTCCCCGCATCCCTCCCCGCAATCACGGGCGTTGGCGCCACCCAGCTCAACTTCGATGGATCGTGCGTTCTTGCATACGCTTGTGCTCGCATGTGTGTATGTTCGTAGGTGGTCTAGTGCCACCTTTCGCCACCCCGCCAGCGTTGTGGACTCACGTGTATTTTGCGCGGTGCATTGATGAACGGCCAGGGAGGACACCGGCACCTCCTTCAGCGGCGGCGGCTTCTGCCTCTCCAAGTACTTCACCCGCTCCCAGGAGTAAGTCAGCTGTCGCCACATGGTCATGCGTCAATGTGTTTGGCAGTCAAGATTGCATCCTTGGTTGCGTGCACGTTTGTGTATGCATGCATGGTCGTCCTTGACTGAGTTGCATGACTGACTTGTGTTGATTGTTTGTGAATGTTGGTGGCTGTTTGTGCATGCAGCTGCACCTACCAGAACACGGCTGTGTCCAACTTCTTCAGCAAGAGCTCCAACCTTCCTCCCAGCCACCTCTACGACAATGCCGTACGTTTATTCGCTTGCAGCGTCACGCCACGTTTTATTTGCACGCAGCGCTCGTCAGGGCTGATATCACTGTTCCTCGAGCACGCTTGTGACCTTGTACTATCACGATACACCCACTCACCCACCCACTCACACACACACACACACTCACTCACACACACACACACACACACACACACACACACACACTCACTCACTCACGTGCCCTCACACTCACTCATGTACCCACACACGCCGATGCACATTCTCCTTCCTTCTCACTTGCTTGTGTGTACACAGGGCTGCGGCTACCCTGATGTGTCTGCGCAAGGCGTCAACTTCCAGGTTGTCGTGAACGGCATCACACAGGGCGTGTCCGGCACCTCCGCCTCGTGCCCAACCGTTGCCGGTGTCGTCGCCCTCCTCAACGACGTGGTATGCCCCTATCTATCTTTGCTTGGTTTTGGCCGTTCGTTTTGTTGTTTGTTTGTGAGTGTGTGAACTTGTGCGCGCATGCGTGTGTGCGTGTGCGTGTGCGTGTGCGTGTGCGTGTGCGTGTGCGTGTGCGTGTTTGCTTGCACGTGATAATGCAATGATGCATTGGTGGTATTCTCACTGATTTTGCTGGCGCGTGTCTGGATGTGGCGTTTTGTGTACATGAAACAGCGCCTGACCCAGGGCAAGTCTCCGCTCGGCTGGCTCAACCCACTCTTCTACGCCCACCCCGAGGTCTTCAACGACATGACCAAGGGCACCAACCGCGGTGAGTTGCGCCGCAACACACACACACACACACACACACACACACACACACACACACACATACATGGTGTGGCTCCACATGACAACTGGATCGCCGCGTGACCTCCATTCCACTGGTCCATTGATTGGTCCATTCCATCCATCCATTCTGCTCGTCCATTCATTGAATTCGTTCGTTGCGTTCTTTTTGGACCACTTGTGTGTGCGTACGCAGGCTCGGGCATCTACGGTTTCACCGCCATTGAGGGCTGGGATCCCGTCACAGGTGTGCCCGCGTGCGACACGTGCTGGTGTCTTGATGTTGTTTCGTGTTGCTGTTCCTTGCTCGTGTCGCAGTTGTGCTTGCCAACAGCGCTGTTCTCACGCACCCCCACCCATTGTTTGTGTGTATGTCCCGTCCACCACAGGCCTTGGCACGCCGAACTACCCCAAGCTGAAGCAGCTTGTGCTCAGCCTCTAAGCGCTCACAAGCCCAGCCTTGCCTTGCCTTGCTTTTGCATCGCTGCATGGCTGCTCGTGTCAATGCGTGTTTTGCTTTCCTCTCTTTCCTCCCTTTCTTTCAGTCCCTTTTGTCTCATTGCTGCTCTTTATGTTTCGTTCAACCTTCTTTCCTGCTCGCATACTCGATCGCATTCGTCGACTTGCTTGATTGTTCCTCTCCAATACACACACCGACACGCGAGCAAAGTCACCAGCTGTCACGCACGACACGATCCCATCTTCAATTCAATCCTTCCACCTAACACGTGTCAGCAAAGAAGAAGGAAGTAGGCGCGAGAAATAAATCTCGCAGTTCCACTGACACACACACACACCAACCACTCCACACACCACTGAACACCACTGAACACCACCTGCACACCACCATGCCACGCTTTACGATGGGATACTGGGGCATCCGCGGCCTTGGCGCCAGCCCACGTATGATGCTCTGGGCCTGCGGCGAGAAGGACTTTGAGAACATCGAGGTACGCATGCGCATGTGTGTGTGTGTGTGTGTGTGTGTGTGTGTGTGTGTGTGTGTGTGTGTGTGTGTGTGTGTGTGTGTGTGTGTGTGTGTGTGTGTGTGTGTGTGTGTGTGTGTGCGTGCGTGCGTGTGACATGGCGTTTGTTTGCCTGCTTTCAATGAGACCAGTCGCCATGCTCGAAACCTCAAACACACATATTCATTCACACACACACACATTCATGCACACAACACAACACAACACAACACAACACAACACAACACAACACAACACAACGCAACACAACACGCATGCACAGGCTGCACGGGCAAGTTCCCCAACCTGCACGCGTACCTGCAGGCGTTCCTCGAGCACGAGGAAGTCAAGTCCTTCCGGGAGTCGGCCTACTACCGCGTCTCCCCGATCAACGCCCCCATGGCGCGCGTCAACAACTGAGCGCTGGCACCGTCCCCTCCCTCTGCTTTGTTTTTGCTTCGAGCACGGCCCCAGTGCTGCTTGCATTGCACGTGTGCCGTTCTTTTGTTGCACTCAACCACACAGCCAACAGCGCTTCATTCCTGATAAACACCACAGCACATACGAGTCTGTATGGCTCATGGACAACGGAAAGAAGATGCACTGACACTCACACCCACGCAACACCCACTCTCCACCACAGAATACAAACAGCAACCAGCCACGAGTGTTGATGAACGGCAAAAGACGAAAGAAAAGCAAAAAATGACACGTGAAGAAGAGGAGGCTTCAAATATCATACACAAGCACACGAAACAGAGAGGTTACATTACAACAACACGTGCAGGAGTACGACACATTGAGGAGAATTCAACACGCACACAAGCATAAACAACACACAAAGACGCAGGCAGACACCCACCCACACACACGCACACACAACACAAACACACACACACACACACACAAACACACACACACACACAAACACGCACTGATTAAAGGTCCTCAAAGCACTCTGGCGCGATGGTGTCGGCAAGGGTGGATAGAGCATCAGCTGCTCCACGCGCCTGCTGCTCTCTGGTCATAAGGGACGTGGCCTGGAACTCGTGCTGTGAAGCAAGGGCAAGCTGCTCTGCCGTGTTGCTCGCAAGGGCATCCAGTTGCGAGGACAGCGTGCCTGCAAGCTCGATGGAGGCGGATGCCGCTTCGCTGTTCACGGCATTCAGTGCCTGGCGAAGGTTGGACCCCGTTGCCTGCGTGTTGCTGATGATCGTGCTCGCTGCGTCGTAGCATTCAACTGCCGCATCCGTTACATCTGTGTGTTTGTGTGTGTGCATGCACAAGGAAAAAAAAAAAAAAAGAAAAGAGGGGGAGGGGAGGCAAACGATGGACGCTGGTTAATGTATCACAGTATTGTAACGCCAAGCAAATCAAGTGCAGACGAACGGTGTCACATACACGCGCACACACACACATACACGCACACACACACACACACACATGCAACACACGCACACACACATGCAACACACACACACACATGCAACACACACACACACAGACACACACACACGCACGCACACACAAACACGAACACAACATGCAGTCAAGCATGTTCCTCCCCCCCCCGCGCCTTCAAAGGTCCCCGTGTACCTGAGGCGGAGGACGCAACGGACTGTGTGCTGGCAATATCGAGTTCAAGCTGCGATGTTAGCTCCGCTGCATCGGCGTGGCGTGCTGTCACCGCTGCCTGCCGGGACGTCAGCTCGGATGTGGTGGTGGACATGACTTGGACGCCAGAGGTTTCCTCGGCCAAGCGTCCCTCGATGGAAGCAGCCGCATCTGCCTCACTCGACAGCCCGCTCTGCACGCTGTCCAGCTCAGACGACAGCTGCGAATACAACGACGTGTCCGCGGAAACGGCGGCCTCAAGCGAGTTTGCAACCCGCACCTGTTGCGAGTGCTCTGCCACCAACTCGTTCGCCTCCAAGCTCAGTTCCTGGCGCAGGTCCACCTTGGTGGTGAGGCACTCGCGCAGCTGGGACACGCGCCTCCGAAACTCGCCCACACTCACGGGGAGGCTGTATTCCAGGGCTGCAGACACGGCGGCCTCGAGCGAGCTGTGCTGGGTCACCAGCTGAGAGGCAAGCTCCTCGTTCATCACAGACAGCTGGCCATCAAGCGAGACCACCGTTTGCTGCAGGGAAGAGGCGAGCGAGAGCTGAGAGTTGGCGCTGTTCACGGCGGCTGTTGCCTCCGACTGCTTGGCCAGAACTTGCGTCAAGAGCAGGCTTGCGTCAATGTCAATGCCGGTCAAGCCCGTGAGCGCCTCGCGCAGGCGGGACAGCGTCGTGTCCATCATATCTGCCGCTGTTTCTGCAGCGGAAGCCTCCTGGGTGGCGGTGGCCTCCAAAGCGGAGGCCAGGGTGGACAGCGCATCCGTCTCCGCGCTGTGGCGCGAAATTTGCGAGGACACCGCGTCCACGGCGTCGCTGTAGTCCATGGAGGCGATGTAGGCCGAGTACGCGTCGATGCGCGCCGATGCAGACTGTGCACGCGACACGGCGGCCGTGAGCCAGTCACCAATGGACGAGATGCGATCACTCGCAGCGCGGGCCTCGTCAAGCAGCGCAGCCTTCACGCGCTCATTCTCGGCCACAACAAACGTCTGCACGTCCGGCAGCAGCGCAGAGTGCGCCACGTAGTCTGCGCAGCCGAGCTGGGTGCAGTTGTTGATGGCCACCTGCTCAAACAGTGCCAGGCGCGGGATGGTGGTGACGCAAATGTCCTCGATGAAGTCGCGGTTGACGTTCACCAGGCCGGCCTCGTCGCCGACAATCTGCACGTTTGCCTCAATGCCGCCTGCGATGTCGAGCAGCGTGGGCATGTTGATGCTGGAGCCGATGCCCAGGGCGATGGTGACGACGCCAAGCTGCTGCAGCGCCTCGATGCCCACGGGCACGTTGACGACGTCGTCGGCGGTGGTGCGGCCGTCTGTCAGGACGAGGAGGAGGCGGTTGGAGCCCTGCGAGTTCATGCTAAACTCCTCCGCCGTGCGGCGCAGCGCGGTGCCAATGTAGGAGAGGCCCGCCTGCTGCTGGTAGTTGGCGTCAAAGTTGGCAAAGAGGGTGGCGTTGTCGGCAGTGAACGGGCTGATGAGGCTGAAGCTGCCTGGGCCCGCAAACTGGGCCAGGGCCACGCGCGCGTTGAGCGCAGTGGAGGAGAGGAGCGGGCTGATGGACTTGGCCAGAAACGAGCGCAGGGTGGAGGGCGAGTTGGTGGGCAGCGAGGTTGACGTGTCCAGGAGCACAAACACGTCCGAGATTGTGCGGCTGCACTCGGCGTCCGAGGTGGAGGAGGTGGAGGCGCGGCCCTTCTGCACGATGAGCACGCCGTCAATGCTGATGGTGCGGATGCATGCGCTGGCAGATGGGAGGGGCTGCCCGCGGATCACAATGGGGCTCGGGGTGCCCACATGCACGATGCCCGGGACATTGAGGCGGCAGCTGGGCACGGCGGTGGACGTTGCAGTACCATCGATGCGGAGCAGGATGCCCGCCTCATCGCGCACCACGTGGATGGTGTGCAGGACGGAGGCGTTTGCCTGAAAAGCCGTGGCGACCTCCGTTGTTGTGCCGTCACATGTGAGGCGGAAGAGGACTTGGTCATCGGTCGCGGCGAGCACGAAGCCGTCCTGGGGCGGGGTTGTGGGCGCGACGCTGGAGCTTGTGGCCAGCATGATACCCAGCGTGTCTCCCTCTTGCACCTGAAAGGTGATGAGCATGTCGTTCTGGAGAGCGCCGGTTTCCATCTGGAAGGAGCCGTACCCGCCGGCAGCGGCGTCAATGTCGCCGGAGAAGTGGTAGTTGTCTGCTGGCGGCAGGTTGGTCGGGCAGAGGCCGGCCGTGTTGGCGCTGACGTCGGCAGAGGTGGAGGAGAAGAGGGTGTTGAGACCCGTGAGCTGGGAACTGGTTGAGGAGACGGTGGTGGAGAGCTCTGATGCTGCGGCCTCCAGGGACGCAGCGGCAACAGAGACGTCTGTGTGGGTGGAGACTGCGGCTTGCGTGGAGGCTGCGAGGGCGTCCGCGTCAAGGGCGCCCAGGGTGGTGGATGTCTGTGACTGGAGGGTGCTTGCCTCTGCGCTGACCTGGGATGCCTGGCTTTGGAACGCGCTTGCATCCGTGGTTCCGCCAGACAGGCTGAGCAGGTGCTGCGCGGGCTGTTCGATGGAGGCCTGCGTTGTTTCGATGCTGCTGAGGGCGCCCTGGTACGCTTCATCACAGGTGGAAGCTGGGTCATCCGTGCACGCTGGTTCCGTGCATGGATGCATGAGTTGCTGCGCGTGCACGCCGCAGCCGAGGACGGACGCCACAACAACAAGCACAGCCACAGCAGCGGTGGCTGCCACAACGACGCTGCGTTGCCTTCCGACCATGACGATCGACGAACGTGTGTGTGTGTGTGTGTGGTTTTGAACAGAAAGAACAGAAAGCAAGAACAGGAACAAAGACACAAGCAAGCAGGGGCTCACGCACACAATCTAAGGAAAGGAAAGCAGATGGGCGAGGAGTGCAGTCGTGTATGATGTTGTGTTGTTGATGTGACTGACACAAAGCCTTGCTTGCTTGCTTGCTTGTCGAAATGGGAGGAGGCGGTGGGTTGGTTGGATGGGGTGCGGTTCAGTGGGTGTGAGGGGTGTCGTGTGTGTTGTGTTGTGCTTGCAAGCAACCAATGCAAGGAACATTCCATGGAAATATTGCCAACTTTCCACAAAATAACAAAAAGTGAAGAAGCAGCAGCAGCGCGCAAAAAGAGATATCAGTGAACGGCAGAGGAAAGCGCACTTCCCCACCCTCCTCAGCTTCCCATCCACGTCCATCCACGCATCCACGTCCATCCACGCATCCACGTCCATCCACGCATCCACGCATCCGTCTGACCTGCTTGCTGGCTGTCATGATGAGGATGGCGGCACGCTCACGCGTGCTACCGTGGCACCTTGTGATGAGTTCCATGCTCCTCGTGCTGTTGTCGACCCAGAACACTGCCCATGCCACCATCTGCATCGACCCCATCCCGGAACAACGTGTGTGTGCACGTGTGTGTGTGTGTGTGTGTGTGTGTGTGTGTGTGTGTGTGTGTGTGTGTGTGTGTGTGTGTGTGTGTGTGTGTGTGTGATTGTCGTGTTTGCGTGTGTGTGTGTGTGTGTGATTGTCGTGTTTGCGTGAATGTGTGTGTGTGTGTGATTGTCGTGTTTGCGTGAATGTGTTCATCTGAGCACTTTTTGTGCGCGTGAGCACTTTTTGTGTGCCCCCCTGTCCACACGACATGCAGCACGCGTGCCTCTTCCAAACCTCACGCACCACCTCCCTTTCAATTACCTCACGTCATGTCATCTCATGGCTACAATCTCTTGTCCAGATCACTGCGTTGACCTCACTGCCGAGGTCAACAGCACTTGCACTGGCAATGACTTTCTCTGCACCGCACAAGGTAAATCGTGCACCAAGATGTCAATCGTGCTCGCTCATTTCCCAAAGCACCACCACCATGGCATCAGTGAGCGCCAGCCAACCTTATGTCGACTACCTCGAGTTTACCTGCAGCGTGCCTGCATGCATGTCGAACACCCCCCTGCTGCGAGTTATCACTGTTTCTTATCGTCCGGTCTTCCACACCACCACTGCCCAACTCGCTTTGCTTGCTTGCTTTGCCAGGTGGCCGTGTCGCGATGAGCACGTTCAGCTGCGACGTCGTTCGTTGCGAGGAAGTGACGTTGCAAGAGTCCCTTGAAGACCCCAATGACGACATCACCTCGGCCTGGTGGTCCGAGCCGGGCGACCAATTTGTCACCATCGACGTGAACCTCGACCCAACTTGCGACGTACGCCTGCACATGCGTGTGTGTATATGTGATGGTATATATATATATATATATATATATGTGTGTGTGTGCGTGCGTGCGTGCGTGCGTGTGTGTGTGTGTGTGTGTGTGTGCGTGTGTGTGGTTTTGTCATCACGACGCTTGTCACATTGTGCTTGTGTTTGTTGCATCCTGGTGGTTGTACCGTGCCCGTGAGCTCTTGAACTTTGCGTATTCCCCACAGCTTCGCCAGTTTGTCCATGCGACCGTTCACAGCCTCACTCAGCTCACTCACCCACAACCTGTGCTTCCGTTCCCCTTTCTTTCACAATGGCAGGGCACGGCTTCGAGCGAGGATCGGTTCAAGTGGCTTGGAGGGTATTTCTCCGTCACGTTTGCCTCGCGCGTTCCCCGCACCATGGTCATTGAGCGTTCTGTCGACAACGGCAACACCTTCACGCCATGGCAGTACTACGCAGAGGACTGCAGCACTGGTATGATTGAACGCAAATCGCTCAGTTGCACCTCTCCCCTGATGCAACAACTTGGGTCACAGCTGTTGTCCATTCGTTTACGCTTTCACACCGCTTCTGCGCTTCTGGTTGCGTTACACATGCCTGCTAGCTTGCCTTGTGTGTCTTTCAAAACAAAAATCACACACACACACGCTCACAACCTCCTTCTTCTCCACCACTCCTCCCCCCAAACACACACACACACACACACACACACACACACACACACACACACACACACACACACACACACACACACACACACACACACACACACACGTACGTCGTCGTCGTCGT